AGCAGCAGCACCAGTCACAGAGAGCAGAGCGAGTGCGCATGCTCCCCCTTCGCCGCCGACAGTCCAGCCGCAACTTCGATCCCTCCCGATGGCGCCTCGGAGCTCCAGGCAGGCGGAGACACCGGGTTAAGCATAAAGGAGTTCGCGGACCAGAAGTTCCACTTGTACGGGCTCTTCGATTCGGCCGCTCAGGTCGAGCGCATCGACGTTCAACAACATAAGCCAACAAGACATGTTCAAGTCGACGCGCTCAGCTTGGACAAGGAGATCGCCAACCAACATCTCCAACAAACAACAATTCACGGACGCCGTCGGATTCTTGTGCAGGGCGCCGACCAGGGCGATAAGCTGCAAGTAATGAATCATCTTGTGCTCGGGACCGTGAAGGAGGTCACCCGGCCACAACATGGTGCGACGGTGCAGCAGTCTTTTATTACACTCTGGCACAGATCGGGGCCGACGTCACGAAACCCAGCTCGCAGCTCGAACCTCTGGCATACCTCTTCCCTCGACTCCCTCCCCATCCTCTACCCGCCCCTTATTCTTCCCGACCATCTTGTCGCAACAGGACCTCATTTTGAACCCGCAGCGCCACGCGTCTCACTCACCTCCCGCTGCCCCCTCCTTCTCCTCCTCCTCCTCCTCCTCATCATCATCATCATCATCATCGTCATCGTCATCGTCATCATCAGCATCATCATCATCATCATCATCATCATCATCATCATCATCATCATCAGTATCATCATCATCGGCATCATCATCCTCTTTCTCCTCCTCTTCTTCTTCTTCTTCCTCCTCCTCCTCCTCCTCCTCCTCCCTCTTTCGTTCCGCGCACCAATCACGCGTTTCGTGGCCCCGTATGGGGGCTCCACCAGAGGCTCCAGTTGGAAAGCCCACCTGCGTCCCACACGCCCATCTCGGCATACCCCTCACGAGCTTCGTGGGCCTGTAGGGAGCTCCACCGGAGGCCCAGTGGAAAAGTCCGCTTGCGTTTCCCCCCCGCCCCTTTCGGCACATCCCTCACGTGCTTCGTGGCCACAAGGAGGGGCCCGACCGAAGGACCCAGTGGGAAATCCCGCCTGCGTCCCCGCCGCCCTCTTCGGCTTCACCCCGAACACGTGGCCCCAGAAAGGGGTCCCCGCCGAAAGCTCCCATTTTGAAGGTCGGAAAGGGGTGTGGCATAAAGGCGTATGGTTCCAATCGTGAACACGGCGATGCTATCTGCGATAAAAAACATCGCCAGATTCCCCTTTGCATGGAATTGGCACCACACCCCTTTATACCATACCCCTTTCCTACCTCCAGACCCATGGAGAAGTCCGCCTGCGTCCCTGTCGACACCGCGCGCCCCGGTGGGAACGTCCACGTGCGCCCCCGCGCTCAGCTCGTCGCCCCCCTCGCGCATCTCGCGGACCCACGGCGAGCCTCACAGACGGGGCGCCCGGCGTCCCGCCGCCCAGTTCGGCACACCCCTCGCGCGCGCCGTGGCCCCATACGGAGCTCCACTGACGGCCCCAGTGGGACAGGTCACACAGCGCCCCCCCCCCCCCCCGCCTTTCGGCACACCCCTCACACGCTTCGTGGCCCCGTAGGGAGAGCTGCACCGAGGGCGATACTCAAGAGCCCACGCCTGCTCATACTTGGGCCCTTCGCCAGGATAGTCTTCGGCGGCTCCAAAGGGTGTGGTTTGCGAAGGGTGTGGTTTGCAACGGGCACCCTGGGTCACATCCTGGGGGGCACCCTGGGGGGCGCGCGGGGACCTCGATAGAGTTCTCCCGCGCCCCGAGGAGGCCCCACGATGACATTGTCGTGCCCCCCAGGCCCCAACGGTGCCGATCGCAAACCACACCCCGGCGTAACCATGCCCTCTGTAGTCGCCGGAATCTGGCTCACGGCAACACGCTCTGAACAGCCTGCGGGTGACGAGCGGGCCTGGGACACGCGATCTGGGAACGAGGCGCTCCCCACGGCGAGCGCAGCCACGAACGGCGAACGCCGCCGCTTCGTCTTCCTCTCCCGGGCGCCAGAGGCAGAGGACAGCAGCCACGAGAAACAGCGGGGTCGGACTCCGCTGGGAGGGAGCGGGCGCAGGAGCGCAGAGGCGCGCAGGCGCACCAGCCTGCGTGTCTCCCTTGGACACGAGACACGCGCACGCGCAGGCGCGCAGAGGCACGCAGAGGCGCGCAGAGACGAGCAGCGTGCTGCCCTCAGCTGCCCCGATGCGCAACACGCAACACGCAGCGTATGGATGCGGAGCGCAACGCGTGGGCTGAAAACGTAGGCCCGACGCGATACGCTCGCCAAAACGTGGTCCAATACGTGGAGCAACGCGCAGCGTATTGACACGGACGTCTTGAACACGGGACGTCTTGCGTATCAACACGGGCGTATCGAGGCAACTAAGGTGCTGCCTTGGCGTGGCCGCTCTGGCCGGGAGGGCCCACCACGAGCCACCCCTGGGCGATCGTGACGAGAAGGGGGGACCGACTCCGCCAGGGCGATGGTGAGTGCAACTCTTCCCACCGAGCTTGGTGGGTTGGCTCGCCCTTGCCCCGCCAGGTGCAGGGAGGCCGTCGAAGCCGCTTTCTTTGGGGAAGGCTTCGTTCCCTGTGCTGCCCCACGGTCGGCAAGCCCGGTCTCGCCCCATCCTCCCCCCCACCCCCCTGCGAGTCTTCTGTGCCAGTCTGGCGTCTAGGAAGGCACGAGGAGCGGGAAGAGCAGGCGCCCAGGAAGACCCCCAGCAGGCCGATGAGCAGGACGTGCGCAGCGAAGCGAGAGCCTCCCAGGAAGGCGAGCCCTCCCAAGGACGAGCAGGAAAGACCTCCCGAGGATGAGAAGGTACCCCCCCTCCCGGGAAGGTCAACCCTCCCAAGGATGAGCAGGATGACCCCGAGGAGCTAGACAAGCGCGTTCCGCTACTCGCAAAGTAACTCCTCGCAGATGGCCTGGATCCGCCGCGGGGCAATCTACGAGAAATGACATCGAAACGGACACGTGCTTTTTTTCGGACGTTTGCGAGCAGGCACTCTGCGAGCAGTGGAGCGCGTTTGGCGAGAAGCGAAGGCCTCCCAGGGCTGAGCAGGCACGACCTCCGCCGCCGCGCCCCCCCCCGGGCGCGGCGCGGGCGCGGCGCAGGGGGTGCCGGGGCGGCCCGCACGGGGCGCAGACCTCTCGCGAGGAGGTCTTCCCCGCCCGCCCGCCCTGCAGGGGCCGCCCGAGACGACGCCAGGGCGAGGAGAGCTTCGGGAGAGGATACCAGCGGGCCCTGGTTGGACCCGTACCCTTCCGCGGGCGAGGATCACGTCGCGTGAGGACACGCGAGAGGACGCAAGACCCTTCCGAGGGCCACGCTGCCACATGAGCGTAGGAAGCGTGGGTCGCGAGGCACAGGACACAAGGGTACCCTTGATTTGGCAGGGTCGACCTACGAACCCGGGCCGGCTGTAAAGCGAGAACCTCTGAGGTCCGGCAGCTCTGGAGGACGTCTCGGGCGCCAAGGCCTTCGCAGAGCGTTCCGGAACGCTCTGGAACAGATTTGTCCTCGGCCTAGCCCCGCCCGAACCTTCCCCTCCCTTCCACAGCCTCCCTGTGCACGGCACCAGGTTGGCGCAGCTCAATGGAAGTACCCAGGATGAGGATGAGATGAGACGCCGCCTGACGAACAAGTCGAGGTCGATTGGCCACAGGCCCGAAAACAAAACAAGTTAATCAGAGAGATTGCCGAGCTCTCTTGCCGCCGCCTCGTCCGCCTCGAGCGAATCGGGCTCAGGCATGGCTGGTAGATGGGGCCAGGATGTGCAAGGTGGAATCCACGCTCGCGCGAGGCCGAGGGGCCAGCGCACCAGGGCAGCATGGCAGCGCCAGGTAGGCGCAAGCCCCCCTTGTCGAGCCAGCGGTGCGGCATGTGCATCGCAGATCTCTTCCCCTCCTCGTCTCCTCCTCCTCCTCCTCCTCCTCCTCCTCCTCCTCCTCCTCCATGTTTCTCCTCCTCCGAGCGCTCAGTCAGCCAGGCCAGCAACCTTGGCGAGCACGAGCTCGGATTGGCCACGATGGCATGAGTAAGACAAGGAGGTTCAGGGAGGATGATCAGATACATGAAGAGCTTGCGGACAACACAAGTCGCAGCTAAGAATAGAGCTCAACGATTTTTGATCATTCTCCAGAGCTCAGTCCTGTCGTCGTGTTGCTTTGACACCTGTTTCCATCCAGTGCATTGCGCGCCATTGCTTGGCCTCGGCCGTGCCCAGGAGACATAGCAATATAGAAATATGATGAACCCAGGGTTAGGGGCTGCGGTGGCGGTGGACAACGCCTCCTCCAGTGTTTCAGAAACGACTGGGAAGAGCCGTGCGCAGCACGCTGTTGCATGAAGGGTGGCAAAGAGGAATCCTTGCGTATGTCGATAACGTGCAAGTGGTCTCGCCCCGTGACGAAGCGCAATCCAGTCCTCCTCTTACCGTCACTCCCTCCCTCCAGAAGTCTCCACCTGTTGATCTCAATCGCACATCGATCGGATTGCTGGCGTAACTTCCGTCCCTCTTGGCCTCTGGCGCCGTCACATCCTTCCTCCAGAAGTCTCCACCTGTTGATCTCAATCGCACATCGATCGGATTGATGGCGTAACTTCCGTCCCTCTTGGCCCCTTGCGCTGGTCCTTCACCGAATCTTCCACCGATCAGACCCCACTGTAACACGACCTCCTTTTAGATCCATGTCCTCCTACCCCCACAGCGATTGGGGGAATTTGCTCTTGCCCGCGTCCCTGGTTCTCTCGGAGTTCTGCTGCACCACGCCCGCGTACACGCGCGAGGGCACCTTTGCCATGAAGGCAAGGGGTACTGAGGAGAAGGGGTCCTGGACCCCGGGGTTTTCCAACCTATCTGTTGCCATTAAGAACTTGTTTGCACTGCCCAACGGCACGGGTAGGGCCCAAGGGTGCAGAACGGGGAAAACTACCTACCCCTTTCCCTCAGGACCCCTTATTCTCATGACGACACCTGGGCCCTCTCGAACATCGTCTTGAGAGTTGCGATCACCTTGGTCTCGTCGAGAGATGCTATCAACACCGCCACCTTGGACGCGTTGCGCACGCCCTCGCTGTGGTAATCATCTGTCGGGGGATACGGCCGCGGATCACCAGGCTTGTAGGCCTGCCTCGGCAAGCGCCACCACTTGTGCTCGTCCAAGACGATGTCGTCGTCGTCCCATCCGGCCTCCTCGAGCCCCGTGCGCGGGTCCACCTTGGCGGCGCGCCCAAGGGGATCTGGGCGAGGGGGGGGCGGCTTTCCACGAGGCCCGAGATCCTCCTGCTCCTCCTCCCTCCTCCTCCCTCCTCCCTCCTCCCCCCTCCTTCCTCCTCACTCCTCCCTCCCCCTCCCTCCTTCTCCTCCCTCCTCCTCTTCCTCCCTTCTCCTCATCCCTTCTTCTTTTCTCCCTCCCTCCCTTCCTCCTCTTCCTCTTCCCTCCCTCCCTGTATACCTTCTCTTCAGCTTCCCCTTCCCTATTCCCTCTCTTCCTCTTCCGCTTCGCAATCGCAACGTAAAGACTCGGTGAACTCAGAGCACGAAACTAAGAAAGCAAACCCACCGTGACAGAGAGAGAGGGAGAGGGGGATAGAGAGAGAGCGAGAGAGAACGAGAGAGAGAGAGAGACAGACAGAGAGTGGTGAGAGAGGCCTGAAATGCCTCTCGCTCGCCTGACCGAACAGTGCGGTCTGCGGCCTTTCGTCTCGTTCCCCCGCCTCCCCCCAACCAAGCATCTGTCCTCAGATGCTGGATGCTACAACATCGTGAAAATCGTGAGGCAGCGGTAGCTACAAAGCTAATCACAAATCCCGAAGTATCAAAACGCGGAAACCTGACTCGATGCAAATATGAATCGCTGTCTACAGGCATGTCGTGGTTGATTACTATGTTGGCGACCATGCCAAATACAACCCCTTTCTCACGATTGCCAGTAACCAAACTGGGCCTATGATGTTGATCTACCGGTTGAAAGGATCAATGCGCTTTTTGCCTTTGCGATCCTCCTGGCCTGAGCCCTTGTGAAAGGACATCAAGGGGAGGTTGCACTTTACCAGTGCCTGGCTGAGAGCTTCGTCACGCCGTTCGGAACCCACGAATATGGCGAGCTTGGCCTCCAACCCACCGCGGATATCAATCAACTTCTGGTTTTCACCTTATTCTGAAAGCTTCACATCACATTGGGAAAGCGCATTCTAGGGCTTAGCCTCCTGTGTGCCTTGCGTATTCGTTGTCGACACGGCCCTCCAGAGAGTCACGATCGCCCCCGCCGTTTCACTTATGGCATTGGAGTTGTCTCTGACATTGCCGAGGCCGTCAGAATGGCAAGGAGCCTGTGCAACCTCGGCGAGCTTATCGTAACGGACGGTCACCATCAGCGTCAATCTTCTCATCAAATCATGTGATCTTCTCATTCAACGTGTCGATGGTGTTGCCGATGGCGTTGGACAACTCTTTGCAGTTGTCGTGGCCCGAATGGCCGCCGACAACTTCATGCACATCCACAATTAACTTGTGGCCGTATAATGCCATGATGGGAACCATGGACACCGTGTGTTCAGTTCCCGACCTGAAGTCCAAGACTAGATGGGCGTACTCGACGATGTACTGTTTGTTCTGCCTGTGTTGCTTGGCCGCGAACTCGTGATGCCCAGGAATGCTGCCCTTGACTTTATTCACAAGATGCCGCACAGAGGCCGCCGCCGTGAAGCCCTCATCCCGCAGCCGTACACAAGCTGATGTTTCAACATGTCAGTGCCGAGCCCGAGCCGTGAAGCAGAAGGGGAATGACCTGCCGTCTTGCGCTACCAATGGCTACGGCCTCCTCTTCCTCGTCCCTCCTCTTCCTTTTCCCTCTCTTGTCTGGGAAAATCTCAAGCTTAGGTGCCACCCGCGAGCGGGTATTCCCCTAAGCGGAGATACGTCCCGCGGTCGTGGTAGCTGCTCTTTAACCTCGCGGCTCCCTCATGAGTTTTGGCTGGCTCTGGAAACCATTCGATCTGCGTTCCTCTCCCTTCGCTCCCTCTTCCCTCTGCACCGGCCCCGAGGGGCTCCCAGAAGGGACCGGCACCCGCGAACGGGACGCCTGTGGGCGGCTGGAATGGTCGATCCGATAGCACCCCCAGTGACACCGCCGCCTGCGGCGAGGGGCCCCTCCCTTCCTGTTCCTCTCTCCCTCCCTCTTCCCTCCTCTCTCCCTCCCTCCCTTACAATGAAAACGTGTGTTGGGGGACGGGTGTTAAGGACGCAAGACCCTGGGAGGCCGACGAGGGGATTTTTGGGGCGGCGGGCGACCAGCGAAAACGACAAATGACGGGCCGCAGAGGCAAGGATACAAGGGTAACGTAGATGAAGGCGCGCGTCCTTACTAGGCGCGTGGACTTTATCTCTTCCTCTTCCCTCGCTCCTCGCTCCTCGCTCCTCCTCCTCCTCCTCCTCCTTGGCGTAGGGCTTCGAAACATCCCCCCCGCGCGGCCGACCACCAGCGGCGAGCCCCTCCTGAGAGCCACGGCCGCCGCCGCGGCCGGCAGCAGCGCGGTCGACAGGGTGCGCATTGGTGCCAAAATTGAGCAGGGGCCGACCGCACCGGCGTTCATGTAGGCCTGCGAAGACATGTTCTTCGAACGAAAGGGCGTCCCAAGAACAAGCACGATCTTCTCATGACGTAAAGCCGAGACCTTAAGCAAAAACGGTCTCAGCCAGAAATGTTCCGAGAACATCTCGTGCAAACCACAGAAGGTTCTGAGAGCACTCTTTGATCGGCCTACAGGCAAGCCGGGACGCTTCGCCCCTGCTCGACGAAGATGGCCCCCCCCCGTCCACGACCGCCGCATCGTCGACGTCGCCGGCTCCGTCGCCGACTTCTCCAGATCTCCGACCGAGGACTCGAGGCTTCTGGATGTTCTCATCGGAGGTGTTCCAGCCTCGGGATGCGCTGCAGCAACTGCGCCCCGCCGAGAGCCTTCCAGGGGTGCCCAAACCGTCCCGAACGGCCGCTGGAGGCCCGAGGCATGGCCCGGAAGCCACATCTCCGCTGCACGTGTTTTCTTGTGTCCCGCCCGAGCGGCCGCTGGAGGCCCGAAGTATGGCCTGGAAGCCGAATCTCCGTTGACGTGCTTCCTTGTGCCCCGGCGTTCTTCCACGATGTCGGCCGCTGGGCCCAAAGGGGGGGGGGCGCCAGGAGCGCACCGGGGGCGGAAGGCCGCCCGGGCCGGGCAAAGGGGGTCCGGCCCCGTGGGGCCGCCCACCGGCCACAGCATGCTTGGCGGCGCGCACAAGGGGGTGGAGGCAGGGGGGAGGGCCTCTTGGAAGGAGGCCGCTTCTTAGAAGGCGCCGGCCTCACATCTGTAGATGGGGCCCGCGCCTTCCAACAAGCAGGGGTGCGTCTAAGCCCTCCTCCCTCCCCCCGCCCCCCCTCTGCGCGTGGCTGACATGCTGGCAGACGTCGGGGCTTCCGAAGGAGGAGGGGTGCAAGCGAGAGGGAGGGTGGAAGAGACGAGGAGGGACGGGCGGGGTGGTGGGGCGAGGGGGGGAAGAGGACCAGGGATGACACGAGGGCGGGGGGGGAGCCTCCTTTTCGTTTCTGCTTCACCGCAGAAGCGCCACCAACGACTCGCTCTTCGGAGTCGGCGGCCAAAAATCCCTTGACCCCAAAATCGCTGGACAGCAGAACGGTGGGGGAGGGTGGAAGAGGGCAAGGAACGAGGCAAGGTTGATGGGCGGAGGAAACAAGAGGGAGGAGGAGGGTGGCGGATGACTAGACAGGTCGGTGGAAGGGGGGTCCCCGATGGGCACGCGGGTGCCTGCCCTGCTGCCAGCTGGCACTGTAAGGTGTAATATGAAGGTTGCTCGGAGCTTGCTAGGCGCTAAGCTCTCGAGCCACAAATGCAAACGAAGCCCTTTGCCTCCTCCATGAAATTTTTAAAGAGGCAGGAAACACGACCGCGAGCGTCACCATCAGCTTTCTCGATACGCTCATTCTTTGTGGCGTCGGGGGAGCGGCCGAAAAGCCCATTGGCGAGGACATTCTCGAAGGGCAGCCCGAGCAGTCATTGCTAGCTTTAGCGTTATCTTGACCCAGCTTGGCCTTTCGCTTCGCCTTTCACAATGTTTGCTTCATCCGCGTCAACTTCAGCATTCACCTTCCAAAACCCTCTTCCCTTCGGGGAGGGGTGCTCTCCCCCTCACCTCCCAAAGGTCTGGCCGGGGAGGGGGGGCACGGAGGCGTTAGAACGCCAAAGATGGCCTCCGATTCTCCAAGACGGCCTCCAAAATGGCTCAAGATAGCGGAAGATGGTTCCATCTAAGATCTAGCTTCCGATATACCTCCAAGAGGCTCGACGAGGGCAAAAAGATGGGTCCAATTGCCCTCGGAGCCCCCCTAGGACCCCCCTGAGAGGACAACCTCTTGTGGATACCCCACGAAGTAGGTTCAGACCATTTTGAAAGGTATGGAAATGGTTGCCGGGGTCTCCGAAGAGCGGATTCTGGACGTATATTCTCCTGTCAAAATAAAGAAATAGGATCCACCACCCTCCCGAGGCCAGATTTATCACTACCCCCTGGATATGTGCAAATCACAGATGATCCTGCTTCATCGTCCATCCTAAATATGAACTCATACCATCCCAGCCAAGCCAGAATTCGCCCCCCCTCTTCCCTCATCGCCTGCAACAAAAACTATGCGCGCGCACTCGCTGATCATCAACCATAAGTTTTCAAAACCCCCTTGCAACAAATGGCACGAAGTGCACGCGCGCACGTCGTCGCGCTCGCATGCCAGAACCTTTCCAACACCTAAGAGGTTACGTAACGATTTCAAAAGCGAATCCCACCAGCCCTTTAGGGCGTCGGTGGTCTAGAGAGCTTCGTCTTCCAACCCCCCCTCTTTCCCTTCGGGGAGGGGTTTACCCCTCCCCTTACCCCTCCCCACTGACCTGGACGGGGCGTTTCGCGACGCGTTGGGACGTCCAAGATGGCCCAAGATGGCTCCAAGAGCGCCCCAAGAGTCCAAGATGACCTCCAGGATGCCTAAATATACCCTAAGATGCCTCAAGATGGCCCCGATGATGCTCCAAGAAACCCCAAGGCCGGCCCAAGACGGACCCAGGTGGCCAAACAGCTCCCCAAGGAGACCCCCAAGAGGCCAACATCATGCCAAAACCTAAGGAACATCAGTGTTATTGGCTTTATCGCTTTTTCGGTTTCGATGGCCATTC